ATTTTACTTTATTTTTCTCTTTTAAATTCTTGAACTTCTATAATTTGATTTTATATACAAGCAAAGACAACAAAGTTTGATTACAACTCTAATGGAGTTTGTAAGAAATTATAACCACTCGAAGTGATAAAATTTCTATATCTTGCCATGATCAAAGTCATGTATGATCGTGAGCACAAGAAGTGAAAANACGAGACTCTAACCAAATTGAGTAGAAGCTTTGGGATTGAGCATAATGATTGTCAATTGTTCCATGTACTTTATTCGTGATTAAATTCTGGATTTAAGGTAAGTATTTTACTTTACTTTTCTCGTTTAAATTCTTGACATTCTATAATTTAATTTTATATACAAGCAAAGACAAGAAAGTTTGATTATAACTCTAATGGAGTTTGTATGAAATTATAACCACCTGAAGTGGTAAAATTTCTATGCCTCGCCATGATCAAATTCATGTATGATTGTGGGCAAAGAATTGAAAACCCGTCCCATTGAATTTGCTCCATTCTCATTCCCTTAAGAGAATGTGATAGCAATATGTGATAAGTCTGAAAGAAGACAAAATTATTACTATGAATGTATCAATGGATATGGACGTGGCAATAGACGAAATTATAATCGTCATCATTTGTGGTAATGAGAACAATAAGGATTCTCAAAATAATCTTTCACTCTGTGAAAAATATTTGTCATCGATTTGACATGAGATTTTGTAAAGCACATATAGATGATTATGGTCCATTCATGATGTGAATGTGACAACATCTGATTTATGAATACATATTCATTCTTCAAAGAATATGAACGTGCTAGTGGTAGTGAATATACCGCACTCACCTCTAAAAGGAGGTTTGAGATGATATAAGAAAATAATGTCATTATTATGGCATAAATGGTCATTGGTCACGTACTTATTGTACGCCAAAATATTTTGGCAATGTGATCATTTAAAGACAACGGTAATGCAAGAAACAGATCTTGCATATAATTTTGACCATAACCATAATGGTATAACTTTCTCTTTAAAAGAGATATTCACCATATGGATGTTGATGAATATGTGGTAGTACCAAATTAATTGTGAACTCTGCAAGAGCCAATTATACTATTTTGGAGAAACACAATTAATTACCAATAAGGTATTGTGTTGTAGTAAGTCTCAAAGAAACTTATTCAGTTTCCAAAGTATACGCGAAAGCGGTTGATTATATTGAGACTATAAATAAAGGAAAGATTTAATATCTTCTATTACTACAACTTGTAGCGGGGTAATATGTATGTGAAAAGCTACCCGCTTTATTCTCCAATTTGTACTACATAAACAAAAGAATACCACAATGAAGTGGATATTTATTGATATAAAAACCCATATCATAATAAACTTGGAGTTTATTGATAATTGCACACGTCATGGCGTAAATCTGAAGTTTATCAATATTGATAATTTATTCAGTTGGCATAATTGGTTTAGCCATATCAATTTAAGTATGATGTGCAAATATGATAGAGAATTCACATGGGTAAATGTTAAAGAACTAGAAAGTTCTTTACGAATTCTCTTATGTTGCTTGTTCTCATTAATTAATAGACCAACTAAAATTGGGATTGAATCCCATGAATGCTGGAAATATCAAAGGTGAATATGGGCCCATTCACCTGCCATGTATACCACATAAGATGCATCTACGAGATGGTTACATGTGCGATTATTATTAACCCGCAACATGGTGTTTGCGAGGTAACTTGCTCAATAATTTAATTTCGAGCATAATTTCCAGATTCTTTTCAAGATAGTTCTTCTTGATAAGTTGGTTTACATCACAGTTGGTTTAGCAAAATGATTTATTGAGTGCCTCCACTTAATAGCTAAATTATTGCTTATGAGAACAAAGTTATCTATATCAGTTTGATATACGTTATATACGAAAGTATATTATTTTCTCCCCTCACAAGTGGTTCAGGGTCAGGAACCAAATAATTTCATCTTATTATTATTGATGTGCGGTGTATATTTTCATTAACACCATAATGCACAAAGATGGATTTTCAAAGTTGAGGAAACAAGTTAGTTTTTCTAACATGAGGGGGAGACAAGATACAACAGTTGAGAAAAAGTTACATGGAATGAATTATCATTTATACATCTAGATCCCCGAATAAAATAATATGAACTTGAAGTTCATAAAAGGATAATTCATGTGCAATTTATTGCAAAGCATGCCAGACGCATTTGCTGACCCAAAGAAAGTAACTATATTCTCATTGCAAATGCTCCTATTAAGTCCTAGAAGGACAAAGTCTATGGTAAGCTTAAAGCGTATAGACAAATCGGTTTCGAATAAACTTCTTGATAAAGAAGATGAGCAAATGATCAAAATGATCATAATAAAGGAGGCAAGTGATCTAGAAGATCACATGACATAACACTTCATAAAATCTCATGAGAGATTCAGGTACCTGAATATACGAATGAAGAGATCTCTATGTTATGTCTTTATGAAAAATAAGGAGGTTGGAACCGATATAAAATGTTTGTCGACGACATTGATTATAGCACTAAATATATATGAGGATCTTAAGTCTGGAGAAACAATTTCGAATATAATTGATTTCATATGAAAGACATGTAGTTCCGAACATGTAGTTCAAACACTTGAAAGTATAAAGTCAATGGTATGTGCATTCAATTTTCGATATCTTATATGTCTAGCATGACATGAAAACTTTATATGCATCTAAAGTCTATTATATGACTTATATGACAATCCTTGAAGGATTTAAATCGCTTGAAGCATATATAATTCTTGATCTTGAAGTACTACTTCCTCAGTGCAATTTGTGCATAAATGTATCTTGCTATAACTATATGCATGATAATATGATAGCAAGAGTTTTCACCTCTATGTGAAGATATTGAAATGATGATTCTAACAAGATCATATGAAGACAATCCATCTCTATCAAGAATGATGATTTCAAGGTGCAATATATTCATTTAAGTTAATATGACTGATTTGTTTATCAAATATCTACCAAAGATCTTTTGAAGATGGTGCACAAGATTGGAATGCAAGTGCTTAAGGATGTGAAAGTGATGCTCTCATGAGGGGGAGTTAATACGCGTTGTTCTTTTTCCCTTACAAGGTTTTGTCCCACTGGGTTTTCCTTGCAAGGTTTTTAACGAGGCAACCAAAAGGCGTATTGTTAGATATGTGTATTCTTTTTCCTTCTGTAGAATTTTTTTCCCACTGGGTTTTATTTTAGTTAAGGTTTTAACGAGGCACATTATCTGTTGAATAGACATTCAAGGGGGAGTGTTATAAATAGAATTGTATTTATGGTGAATGTCTATATTTAGAGAGATTCTAGGGTTTATTACTTGGTGGCTAAGTCACCATCTCCCTATAAATAGAGCGTTCTATTCCATTGTAATTCATCCCAAAATATCAATAAGAATTCTCTCTCCCTACTTTTCCTTGCAATATTCTCCTTCTTCTTTATTATTTCATAACATTATCAAGTATATTCTAAGCAATCACTCAATGATTTTTGAGTTTTAACCCATAGAAATAGTGTCCATTGGCTACTTTAAAAATAGAGTGAAATTAAAAAATACTCAAATTTACAAGTGTTAATTGAAAAATAGCCACATTTTCAAATTTAGTCTCTTTTCATGTAAAGATAAATCTGAACAAAAATACTGTTCAAAATCCGGAAAAATTATTCCAGCATAATATACTGGAGTTCTAGTGTAATATATTGTTCCAGTATAATATACCAGTCCAGCATAATATGCTGGAAGTTCATACATAGGTGCTCCAATCTCCAGTATATTATGCTGGAACTTTCAGTGTTGCAGCAAAATAGTGGCTATTTTTCAATGACTTTGCAAACATTGACTATTTTTAATGGCCGGTCCAAAAACTGGCTAGCCCGTGCTATTTTCACTTAAAAATAACTCCAAGATAGTATCCTTAAACTTTAAAATTCTCGGACATTGGCTATTTTTTAAATTATAGGGGTTGAAAAGGAAAATTTACACAAATGTCCCAAATAAATCCCAACTTACCAACATCTAGCCATTAGTCATAGACTTACCAAAACTAGCCAACAAAAATTGAAAAACCAAATAATAGGGTTCTTTCTCTCAAAGAATCACATAAAAATCACCTTCCATATTTTTAAGCGTGATTAACAACATTAGATACAATACGGAAAGTAAATTTCATGGACGGGGTAGCAAGTAAGGTGATGAAATACAAAAATCTATACAATATTCCAAAAATCTAAACAAAAAAGGAACTTTTTCAATGGGTATAGTTGAAATTTACTGAAAATATATAGATAAGTCAATATACAAAATTTGAGGAAGATTGGAGGTGATTTGGACTGGTTTCGTATCAAAATTCGTAATCAAATTGAGTTCAAAAATATCTTCTGCGACACATGTATCACGCATGTATCACACACACAGGTATACATGGATATACATGTGATACACAATTGATACAAATATGATACATATGTGATACGCAAATGATACACAGTGTGATACACATATCATTTTTTTCATGTTCAACTTTTTACTTCGAATTTTCAATTCAAACCACCTCAAAACTTCACCAAATCATCCCAAAACCGAGATTCAAGCTTCTTAAGTTGTGCCCAATCTATTTTAATAACACCCACGCAAAACAAAGCAAAAATTTGATATTTTTTGCTACAAATAGCTAATTGGCTAATTTGGCTAATATTAGTAATATTTTATCAATTGGTCAATTTTTGTAATGAGCTACTTATAAATGGATATAGCCGGTAATTTCTCGTTGAAATGTAATTATTGGAGACTCAAATGATGGATATGCAAGCATGATAACTTATATGGTGTTCTATATCTTCATGAAAAATGCATTAGCTATTTGTGAATTTTACCCCAAGTTATTTGATTTGGGCTCGATCCAGTAATATCAGGCCCAAAATGTACAGGCTGGGAAACACCTCGTTTCACATTAAAAATCACACTCTTAAAACTTCTCGCAACGCCCATCGCCGCCAGTAGCGCCGCCGCCGCCGACCTAGGTTTCGACAACACCGGCGACATTTTCCAAAAATGGAGGAGAAAGGCGGCATAATGACAAATCCTAAAACAATACAAGAACTAGCAGTAGAAGGACAAAGGCATTTAGAAGACACAATAGAAGCAGCACATCAAATTCTCTCCGCCATGAACGACGAGCTCTGTAACCCTACACTCTGGTCCACTACTCCAAATACGGCCGCTACTACTTCTGCTAACGCCGTTATGAGTAACGGACAGCAGCAGCATCATTCTAACGGCGGCGGCGACGTTTTGTCGGATAATTCTTCGTCTTCTTCGGCATCGGCTCAACAACACTTGGATATTGGGGGCGGTGCCCTTGATGGGTCTCGTCTCCGTTATAAGTCCTCAATTGCTTGCTTGCGTTCTGTTCTTACGGCTATTTCTAATGCTCAGAAGGTAGTTTTACTTATAGAAATGCATGTTTTTGGATTTTTTATTTTTGAAGCTTTTATGTCTAAAATAAGTTAGTGACATTTGTCTGGCTATAAATCATCTCATCGAGAGTAATAAGATGGGAAATTAAAAGTGAATTTGTTTCAAATATAGAAAGGTGTCATTCCTTTTAGTAGGACAGTTTAAAAAGGAAAATGTGCCACATAAATTAGGGTTTTTATTGTTAAGATAGTGATCCAAGCAAAAGTTTGTTTGATATAATCATGAATCAATTAAGTCTCGATCTCAAACTAGTTGCGGTCAACTGTATGCATTTTTGCTAGCTAGGGTCCATTATGTGAATAGTCTATATCAAAATTTTTAATGATACAATTTGTTAAGTAAATTAATGAGGAGTAGGAAATTTAAAAGGTGTAAAATGCTCTAAGGGCTTTGGTTCAATGCCAAAGGGACTACCAAGGAGGATGTGTGCTAAGTGGACGTTACGAGTTCGGTGGAGAACTCTAATGTTACAATGCCCAAAATTACTGAGTGGAATGAAGGGGTTACTTATGGAGCCAAATGGATATGGAGGATTCATGTGCCCAGCCATCAACTAGCGTGAGGTTGAGGCATAGGTGGTGGTGGAGGTAGTGGTCTGTTAGATAGTAATTTTGACTAGAATATGCTATTAAAATAAATATTCTACAAATTTTGTTCCTCGTGAGTATTATAGGAAAGAAAGGCGTCAGATTAAGTGGTAATAAATATTTTAGGGGTAGCAGGAGGGTCTATTAAATTTGAATGGAGAGGCAAGGGAAGCAGAAAGCTGAATCTTATGGGAAACGAATTTGTTGATTGCTCTGGGTATGACACGGGTGCTTATTCTAAGGGTACAATTTGCCTTTACAATATGCGCAGAATTTTTACGTGGCTATTTTATATTTTGATATTCTTATCGTTTATAAGACACAAGGATAAGCATTTCTCGAGTTATGAATATAAAATTCACTTGTTTGATTATCCATTGTCATTAGCCGAAAAGCTCAACTGTGCTGCTTACAATTTGTTTGATTTGACTTGTTTCCTTCTGGGGTTTGTGGGTGGTTGTTGGTGGAGGGGGGAAGGAATTCAACTATGTTTTCTAGGTTGTGCTCGTTCCTACTGTTTGAACGCTCATGATGAGTAAGTACTTATACTAAGATAAACTACGACGCTCTATCCTTTTTAAGAAAGATTTTGCACTATAATCACATTTTAGGTCCTTGGACTTGGTATATGGATTGTCTTACATTTGTGCATTTGGAGATTCTGGTTGCAGGGTTAAGAATTTTGTAAGTTGTGTCTATTTGTCTTTTTTGACAAATAGATCATTGACACTGTATGCTGTTTTATCCTCAATATATGTGCTACTGCACATTATTTGAGTTTATTAAGTTCTTTTAATAACTTCATACTTTTGAACTGTGCAAGTATTTGCTCCAGTTTAACTGCAAATTATTCTTTCAAAAGAATTTAACTGCAAATTATCCAAATCTTTTTTGTGTTTTGCCTCGTGGTTTACAAGTTATATTTGCTTGTACTTTTGGAAAGTTGTTCACTTGTTGTGTGATACTTCACACTCTTTACTGATTATGTTAGCTAGGCAAAAGCATTGGAAGCTGCTTCTGCTAGTTGTTCACTATCTGCTGCAGATCAAGCTGAAATTGAGCAGCTGGAGGAACGCGCCTCTACGTTAAAAAAGGTACGGACAACGTATAGAGTTTTGAGGTCTTGGAATTTCTCTGAGATTGTTGTTGGTTTTGGGGTGCATGGTGGGTGGAGGTGCAGAAAGGAATGTGTATGCGAACATAGGACCATGATTGGTGTTGGTATTTGCATTTCCATTAAAACAAGATTGAGGTATCCCGCATGTTATCTATCCATCGCGGACGTCCCTAGATGCCTCGCTGTTCAAACTTTGAGATTCTAAGTCAGAATGATGTGACTTTTTTTGTCATATGAATTATGTAATTATGATTTTGTAAAATTTGTAATTCTCTTTTATTTGCTTTTTGTTTCCGCCTTGTGGCAGTGAAAACTCTTCACTGGAACGTAAAGAGTGTTCTACTTGACTGCATGTATATAAGCTTCTATTATCTCGTGGTACATGAAGAAAACAAGTTGCTAATTTGATCTCGAGTAAGCATATTATATTGTTCTGTGCATTGCAGGAACTTGTAGACAAGAACAAACATCTCAAGCTTCTAATTGATCAGCTTCGAGATCTTCTTTCTGATCTATCAACGTGGCAAAGTCCCTGTTCTACATGACTCTGATGCTATAACTTCAAGCATATAGTTCAACTCTAAGAAACTGTTTTTTGTTGTACAGAGGTTACTGCTTGATCGAAATACTTGGTTATTGCCAAACACCTGTAATTCTATGCAACTTAATGCTGCTCGCGGGCTGAGATGTTACAGTAAAAATAGAGCTTTGGCAAATAAGCGTGCTACTCCGATCTTTCTGGTTTTGATTATAAAATGATTTCTGATCTTTGCTTATTTGAACAATTGGCTACTCAAATCTACTTATTCAATCATTAGTATCTACTATTATTTTAAAAAGAATTTTTTGTTTCTTGACAGTCTGCGTATGATTATGATTAGTGAAATATACTTATTAAAAAAGAACTAATCAAATCAAGTGAAGGAATTCAAACCAGCCGAACTTAAATTTGGTTGTGCGCTTCAACATGAGTCAATCGATCACTATTCTTCTATAAGCAAGCATAAGAGTAAATATCCTTCAACATTTCACTCTTCGCAAGAGTTCTAACTTCTAATCAAAAGATTGCCATAAAGATCACTATACAGTGGCTAGATTCTAACATTCCCAAATTTGTGACCACTGCAAGAACTTTAATTTCTTTCGACATATCTGGTTCATCATAATCAAAGGAAAAGATTACAACAACAACAACAAATTCAGTAAATTCCTACAAATAGGGTCTAGGGAGGATAGTGTGTACGCAGCCTTTAACCTTGGGGGAGGAGGAGGTAGAAATATTATTTTCGATAGACCCTCGGCTAAAAAGAACATGAAAAGAAGCAACGGCAACAAATAGGAACAACCAGTGGCGGAGCCACTCACTAGCAAGGGGAGTCAATTGACACCCCTTCGTCGGGAGATTATACCGTGTAGATTGGTTAAATATTTTATTTTTATGTATATATACTATGTGTTGACTCCCCTTAATTTTTTCATATGCTTGCTTATTCATATTTTGACTCCCCTGATGAAAATTCTGGCTCCGGCATTAGAAACACCCAATAAGATATTAAGAAAATCGAGCGAAAGCTTCTGTTTCCATATATATTCCTTATACAATTGAAGACGATAAATATGGTTCATGTCTAAAGAGAAAAGAAATTGTACGTGTCCGTCAGTTTTTTTGGCCATTTTTCTAGTGGTAGAGTGCTCAAACAGTTTAATATGATGCAGTCTTTTCCTGTCGCAGAACTTTGGTAATACACCCAGAACCTGATACCAGAATCTCTATAAATTATTACATATTAGTGATAATATTACAGCAGCGTCAAAATTCCAAAAATTACTACTCCATTTCACAATAATAACAGAATGAGTAGCAAAAGTTCAGCCATTTTCATGATCACTTTGAGACTGGCTTTATATGCAAAAGTTTCCTCAGCATAATTCCTGGTTTTACCAATAGCAGCATGCAGCATATGCACGTAGGCAGTTGTATATTGCATTGGGTATGTTCTGTATTCTCTTCTTCATATCTATATCTATATCTATATATCTATATATATATTAAAGCAAGAAAGTTACCATATAAAATTGACATTATGATTAAGCCAAGTGGCAAGCTAATAAATGTCAATAGTATATGGTAACTTTATTCTATATTTGACTATTTTAGTTAAATACAAATATAATATAATATACACACACACACATACACACACACGGTATTTTAATTAAAAAATAAGTTTGAATTTATAGATAAAGTTCTAAAATTCGAATTTAAATTAAAAATAAAATTTATCTTTTTCTATCATGTTATCATACTTAATTCGGTTAACGATCATACGCTTAGGAACTTTTGTTATTTTTTATAATTATTTAAATACTACTTCGCCTCTAGAAAAAAAAAAACAACTCCATATAACTATAAAATTCTTTCACATTTAAAATCCTATAAGTATAGTTCTTTGAAACATTGTAGCTAGATTTGAATAAAACGAAATTCTTTTAAAATAAATGTAATATATAGGGTACACATCTATGTTTATCTAAATAACAAAAAAGAGTTTACAAAACCAAATAAAAGTTTACTTACATATATAATAAAGTAAACATACACGCTGGAGAACGAACATCACAAAATCAGTCAATATTAAAAAAAGTTGTTTCTTTTTTCTTCTTGAAGAATATTTGTTTGAAAAGTCAATTTGCATAAATGGACATCAAACAAATAACAAAACTTTGGTTATACAATTGCTATCATTAATTTAAATTTAGCACATTCAAGGAATTGAAGGGTATAAGCTGAAACCCCTTCATTTAGCTGTAGTCAAGCCAATATTGCAAGAGTATAATATTTTTTTCGTTGAAGAATATTAGTTTTGAATCATTACATTATGTGAAAGGTTTTTTTTTAAAACTCAACAAGAGATAAATTGGTTTCTAATTGATAGTTTCAATAGCGACTTTTAAGTGTAACAAAGAGTATATATAAAGGAAAAATTGGTATGACGTGAAATAATTTTTTAATAATGTAAACAAATTATTTCGAGAAAACTTTTTACTTTTATTTAATTCAAAGAAATAAAAAGTTAAGATATTTTTGAACATTAGTAGAGAGTTTTAAAATTATTATAATAGAAGTTATATCATGGATAATATCAAAAAACCAAAATCTGATGGAATATTTACATAATATCCGGCCATATTTATTGTTTACTTATTATAGCTAATATAAATAGATGATATATCGACAACACACGATTATACAATATACACTATATATGGATTATATACAAATTACACATCATTTAATTTTTTAATTTAAGTGGTCGGGTGAGCAGCTATTTAGGCTGATTAGATAAAGCCAAAAGAAAATATGAAATAATTTCAACCAAAGACTAAAAATATAATTAGAGCTCATATATAGACAATTTTTTATTAAAACTCATCCTTTTATAGTGGAATAAATTAATTTTTTTGTAACAAAAGAAATAATGACATAAAAAATATGATCAAAGAAAATAAATATTGAAAAAAATGTTAGAAAGATCTAAAAACGAAAAATAAAAGATGACAACAAGTCTTCTTATGTTTCATCTTTTGGTGAGTGTAAAAAATTTGAAAGTTAATCTCATCGATTTCAAATACTTTTTTTCAACTCAAATACATAGATTATAAGATAAGGATATCTTCGAATATTTTTTTAATTTACATTTTGTGTCGTTAATATGAAATAATTTCAACCAAAGACTAAAAATATAATTAAAGCTCATATGTAGACAATTTTTATTAAAACTCATCCTTTTATAGTGAAAAAAATTAATTTTTTGTAACAAAAGTAATAATGACATAAAAAATATGATCAAAGAAAACAAATATTGAAAAAAATGTTAGAAAGATCTAAAAACAAAAAATAAAAGATGACAACAAGTCTTCTTATGTTTCATTTTTTGTTGAGTATAAAAAATTTGAAAGTTAATCTCATCGATTTCAAATACTTTTTTTCAACTCAAATACATAGATTATAAGATAAGGATATCTTCAAATATTTTTTTAATTTACATTTTGTGTCGTTTTTTAAAAATCATTATTACTAACAAATTGATATGATATTCGAATTTGAATTGGAATGCAATTTGAGTAGTTTGCATTGAGGTTAAGCCAAGAATTGTGTCGAAAAATAAACTACTTGACAATTTTAAGATAATATATGCAATGTCAACTAATTTAACATTTAATGATTCAAAGAAAAAAATTATTGTATATATAGGGTATTAAAAATTCAAATTCTGGGGCTAGAGATATCGATAAACTTAAAGTAGAGTCATACTGAAATAAATCCGGCCAAAGAATCATTTAAATTTTTAGATAGCCGATTAAAGTAAATTTTAAATTAAGGATAATATCTTCACTTGCATCATTATAAAGATAATCATTATTAATATATATATATATATATAAAGTTTTAGAAATTGAAATCTCAAAATAGAAATATTTTCTCGAAAGATAAAATCATACCAAATAAGAGTTCAAGTAGTAGTATAAGAGTCACGTCGTAATCAAAGAATTATTTATATTGTGTCAACCTTTGTGCTTTGCCATAAATATGAGTTATTATTTCACTTTGTGGCTATTCTTAGGTTAATGACACATATGAGAATAGTGCAAAAATAAAATTATGACTACGAGAATTGAGAAAATGTTAGTCTTTTTTCATGTAGTGTTTCTTAATTAATATCTGACGATTATCTATAATTATTTAGAAGGTTTAAATATTAAGGTTATTTACGTATAATTCAAATAACTCAGATATTTAACATGGTTAATGTCAAATATCAAATGGAGTAAAAGAAATTCACTAACTAAAGAATTTTTTATATTTTTAGACAGCCAACTAAAATGAGTTTTCAATTAAGAATAATATTTTCAATTACATTATTATAAAAATAATTATTATTGAAAAATAGTATTTTAGAAATTGAAATTTTAAGAAAGAAATATTTTTTAAGAGATATCAACACACCAAATAAAAGTTCAATTAGTAGTAAAAGAGTTAAGTCTTATCCAAAGAGTCATTCATTGTCTCAACATTTGATTGTTTTGTCATAAATATGAGTTATTATTTTGCTTCCTGACTATTTTTATGATCCAATGACACCGGCAAGAATGGTATTAAAAAAGAAAAATAGAAGAAATGGTTAATTTTTTTCATGTAGTTAATATCCAATGATTATCTATATTTATTGAGAAAGTGTAAATTTTAAGATTATTTATATACAATCCAAATAACTTAAATATTTAACATGATTAGTGTCCGCGCATCCGCTCGAGTACTAATACTAGTTCTCAATAAAGGGCACATTCTGAATATACAATTTTAGCCTATTCATTTCACTACCAATTCTCTCAAGAAGCATGCTTTCAGTAATATTGAGTTCCATTTTCAGCTTACACTACCTTTGCTCCTATTTAATTGTCATGTTTACAAAAAATGATTGTTTCCGAATATTTATCATTTGGCCAAATATATACCCAACCCCTTAAACTTGTCATGAAATTTTATTTAGACACCTAAATTTAGTGTAATACCTATTGAACACAACTCGAATAGATGGTACCTATTAGATACCTACCTGGTAATTTCTAATAGAACAAAGGTGCGTGACTTTCAATCGCCGTGACATGGCGAGGAGCAAATAAATATGCGACACGCGGAAAACTTTGTTTTTTGTTTAAAAGAAAAAAATCTTCTTCTTCCCAACTCCATCGAAAAGAACCCAACAGAAGACTCCATATTCGTCATCACATCAATATACTCATATTCACCTAAATAATTTTCAAACGAATCTTAATACCAAATTAGACACACAAGTAAAGAACATACAAAGAACAGTGATAGAATTTAAGGGTCCACCAAACTCTATAGAGAACTAGGTTCTTTATCAGGTTCAACAGAACACGTACACTGCAGTAAATAAATGACAAGATGAATTTTACGTGGAAAATTCCCATCTCAACGGGATTAAAAACCACGACCTACCATTGTAGGATTTCAACTTCACTATTGAGCAACTTTCAGATTACAAACTATGCAACCTAGGAATTAACCTCTTAATCCTTCACTAACTTGTAACACTCTATTACAAGCCACTTTGCAATAACTCTATTATAAATACTTTACAACTTGACTAACTCTAGCTAAGACACAAACACAAGGGTTTATAATTTACGAAAGGTTTCCTATGCAATGCTTCTAAACAAGCTAAGTAGAAATTACAATTGAAGAACTATTACAAAGTTACAACTCAACTAAGGACATACAATAACTTGATATGGGGAACTGGTCCGTAGCAGTGTTGTTCTTTGTTCTTGATGCACTTGAGAATTGTCTGCTTGCTGATCAATCACGTGAGAGTGCTTGAGTAAAATTCTCTAAATGTTCAGGTGATTTGTTTTACCTTCCTTCATGTTAATAATACATGTGTGACATCACTTATAGTGATGTAAGCAAGGTAGGTAAAAGGCCTTCCCCATAAAGCTGACTGCTACAATGTTCCTGTACTGTAGCGTGTGCAGGCAACAACTTTTCCAGCTGGAGAGTGGACTTTCGTACAGTTACCTCGGGAGCTAGTAGCGACATATTCCCTCTGTTGTTACTTTGACTCTAACGAGTTGAACTGTGTCCCAGCTGGAGGCATGTTGATCTTTTAAGGTCCTGAAGAAGGGTGTTTGGTTACTTATCTGGTTCTTTACAGTAAGTTTGTTAGATCATCAAAACATAACAGGGATACACATATAACCTATCAATTTTCCCCTTTTGACATCATAAAAAGATTAGTAACAAGCTTTTAAGCAATAAAGAAGTCTAGCTTTAAGTTAACTCATGCCACTTATGTGCACACACTCATGACTAAAAATAGAGCATAACAACAAGGTATAAACATCAAAAAGGGAAAAGCTTGCATTAACATAATTTGGATTGCAACAGGGGCAGAGTCAATGTTACGACCACCATCCACAATTTAGAGCAGCAAGAAAAATATCACAAACATCATCATAAGAACTGACACTGAGGGACTTGACCACAAACTAGATCATAGACTTGACACTGAGGGGACACTATTTAGGGAGCACTGGAAGGAGAAGGCTTAGAAGCAGAGGTAAGGGTTTGGAGCACTAAATCCATTCGAGCATTCGCTGAAATTTGCTCGTTGAGCAGTCTCTCTTTCAGGTCCTCCACTTGTTTCCTGAGCTTAGCATTCTCTTTTGTCAAACGAGCAACCTCTTCACTTTGAGAGCTACTGGAACCAGGTGCCTCTTATAGCTGACTTAACTGAGTCTCAAGGATAGCATTCCTTACTTTCAATTGCCTTATATCAGTAGTAGCACTATTTTGAGCATTGATCAACTGAGATATAGTAGAAGTGCTTCCAACCCCTCAAACTTTCTCAATACGCTCACATTCTTCAAGTGTAGCTTTGGAGAAAGTTTGCTTCTTGGTGCCTACTTTAGCTTGTCCTAGAGGAACCTTGAAATGCTCCAAGACCTTGGTGAGAAGGAACTCATACGGCAGCCCATGATTACCATCTTTAAAGTCTGCCACTTTATTCATGTGCTCTATCATGATCCCAGGCAGATTGATGGTAGTGAAGTTATCTAGTGCTTCCATGAGGAACGGGTCTGCACGAGAGGTGATAGATCTTCTCTCAGCTCGAGGCAGCAATACCTTGTTCACCATCTCAAATAGCAGTCGGTATACAGGAAGGGGGGCCTTCTTCTGAACCCGTTCCCCCTACTGAACTGCTCTGTCCTTCGAGATGACATTTCTGAAGTTTTGAGAACAGGATCCTTGAACACTAGACAGCCCTTCAGCAGGCACACCAAGAATAGATCCCAAAAGAGCAGAGTCCATTACCATATCAACTTCATTCACCAACACACAGATGTGATCATCCTCAACTTTGAAAAGGTCAGCATAGAAACTTTGAAATTCCTCCTCATACGCCTTTGGAGCATCATTTGTGAACAAATGTGTCCACTGTTGAAACTTACAGATCTCAACCAGCTGTCTCATACCAGCCTCTTCCAAGATATCAGGGGCAAATGTGCGACCCCATAGCACCTTTTGACTTCTCAATCTCTCCTTCCCAGCACTCATTGGTTCTCGGACCCCCATTGGCTAAATTGACATCCTATAACAACTCATAGTAGGAATAATAAATATAATTGTGGGAGTAAATAATATTTTAGTATACAAATAAAATTAATTTTTGATGTACACAAAGAAGAAAAATAAACTTATGATATCTATATTGGTATACATATGTCCGATGTGCTATACACCGTGATAAAAATAATACAATATTTTTATTGTGATATATATTGGTATAAAGGCAGCAATAACTATATATATAATTTTATATTATTGATATACAAAGAATGAAAATAAACTTTTAATATACATGTTGGTATAGACAAAGAAGAAAAAAAATTGTGATATACATATTATTATTCTGATATACATTTATTAGCTATTTGATGCCAATATCTATAACTAGGGCTATTTTCTGCTAATTATATGAGTATGTTGTTATACCATGCCAAAACCCCTTTTAAATTAGGAATTTTTACCTCCTATAGCAAATGTTAATACCTTATTCATTTTAAATAAATACCATTTAAAAAAATTATATTCTATAGATACCTTTTAAGGTTTATAGCAAAATATTTAATTTTGGTTATCTCCTAGCCCTAAGCCACTAAATACGCTATTCAGTTACACTATTTTCTTTCTCTCTCTACTTTGATACATCCATTTCTCTTCCCCATTCCCCGAAAACACAATGCTCCATCTCAAAATTCCTCTCACCCATACTATTTTCTTTTCATTCCGATCAATTATTGCACCGAATTGAATATCACTAAACTCATGGCTTAATTCCCTATACTTCTGATTGCTCAATGCGTTCAAAGGTGAAGTATAAATAACTCTCTGCTTATCCCTAAATGCCACAGCGATTGCGTACTCGGCGACAACTGTTTCCCCCGCGGAGGTATGTGCCGATACAAGAACTGATTCTTTACGTTCTAAGCACGCGACGGATACTTCCTGAAATAGGTCGAGCTTGAAGGGGTAGGTTTTTGCCATTTCGCCGTTATAGGAAGGGTTTGAGAGGGTTCCGTGGATTGTTTCGTCGTAGGTTGATGTGTATTGCTACGGTGGATTCGCCGGAAATTAGGGTTTGTTCTTGAACAAAGACGACGGAGTTTGGGGCTGAGCAACTTGATTTTATGTTAATATATTTCAATGTATTTTCATGTATTTCATTGTATTCATTGTCTTTTTTTCCATTGTAATTCAATGTATCTCGTTGTATTCCAAGTATTTCTTATTCACTGTCTTTTTTTTCATTGTATTTCAATGTATCCTGATGTATTCTATGTATTTTATTGTATTCAGTGTCTCGCTATATGCCATGAATGTATTCATATATTTTTTTTAATTAATATAATTTATGTATTCAGATGTATTATATAATTTCTCTGAAGATTGCTATGTTTTTGGGGTATTTTTCGGTTGAGAATATTTTTTATAACTAAAAATACAACTTTTGTGTGTTATAATTGAGTTTGTTGAGTTATATTAGGAGTCTATTATGTTAATTGATTCACTTTCCGTTTTAAAAACAGTGTAATCCCCTATTTCACGCCGTGAATTACAGTCGAATACAGTCGAATACAATAATCTGTCCAGCTGTAATCCCATGTTTCACTCCATGAATACAGTCGAATACACTTGAATACAACAACTGATTAGCTGGACCTCCCTGATTCTCGCCTATTTTTGCTACTGTATTCATGAATACAATAGCTTAAATACATCAAATATATCTTATAACCACAGAAAAGGTATCTATAATCCTTAATATAACAAATGGTATCTATAGATGGCTAATTACTACTATAGGGGTTGAAAAATGTAATAGCTATATCTGAATTTTACCCCAAGTTATTTGATTTGGGCTCGATCCAGTAATCTCAGGCCCAAAATGTACAGGCTGGGAAACACCTCGTTTCGCATTCAAAATCACTTTCTTAAAACTTATCACACCGCCCATCGCCGCCACTATTGCCGACGGCGACCTAGGGTATCGACAACACCGGCGACATTTTCCAAAAATGGAGGAAAAAGGCGGCACACTGACAAATTCTAAAACAATACAAGAACTAGCAGTAGAAGGACAAAAGCATTTAGAAGACACAATAGAAGCAGCACATCCAATTCTCTCCGCCATGAACGACGAGCTCTGCAACCCTACACTCTGGTCAACTACTCCAAATATGGCCGCTACTACTTCTGCTAACGCTGTTATGAGTAACGGACAGCAGCAGCAGCATTCTAACGGCGCCGGCGACGTTTCGTCGGATAATTCTTCGTCTTCTTTGGCATCGGCTCAACATCACTTGGATATTGGGGGCGGTGCCCTTGATGAGTCTCGTCTCCGTTATAAGTCGTCAATTGCTTGCTTGCGTTCTGTTCTTACGGCTATTTCTAATGCTCAGAAGGTACCTTATGGAAATGCATATTTTTGAATTTTTTATTTTTGAAACTTTTATATCTAAAATAAGTTAGTGACTATAAATTATCTCATTGGGAGTAATAAAATAGGAAGTTAAAAGTGAATTTGTTTCAAATATAGAAAGGTGTCATTCCTTTTAGTAGGACAGTTTAAAAAGGAAAATGTGCCCACATAAATTAGGGTTTTTATTGTTAAGATAGTGATCCAAGCAAAAGTTTGTTTGATATAATCATGAATCAATTAAGTCTTGATCTCAAATTAGTTGCGGTCAACTGTATGAATTTTTGCTAGCTAGGGTCCATTATGTGAATAGTCTATATCAAAATTTTTAATTATACAATTTGTTAAGTAAATTAATGAGGAGTAGGAAATTTAAAAGGTGTAAAATGCTCTAAGGGCTTTGGTTCAATGCCAAAGGGACTACCAAGGAGGATGTGTGCTAAGTGGACGTTACGAGTTCGGATTCTATGTGGAGAACTCTAATGTTACAATGCCCAAAATTACTGAGTGGAATGAAGGGGTTACTTATGGAGCCAAATGGATATGGAGGATTCATGTGCCCAGCCATCAACTAGCGTGAGGTTGAGGCATAGGTGGTGGTGGAGGTAGTGGTCTGTTAGATAGTAATTTTGACTAGAATATGCAATTAAAATAAATATTCTAGAAATTTTGTTCCTGGTGAGTATTATAATTTATGGGAAAGAAAAGCGTCACAGACTGAGCGGTAAAAAATATTTTAGGGGTAGCAGGAGGGTCTGTTAAATTTGAATGGAGAAGCAAGGGGGGCAGAAAGGTGAATCTTATGGGAAACGAATTTGTTGATTGCTCTGGGTATGACACGGGTGCTTATTTCTACGGGTACCATTTGCCTTTACAATATGCGCAAAATTTTTACATGGCTATTTTATATTTTGATATTCTTATCCTTTATAAGACACAAGGATAAGCATTTCTCGAGTTATGAATATAAAATTCACTTGTTTGATTATCCATTATCATTAGCTGAAAAGCTCAACTGTGCTGCTTACAATTTGTTTGATTTGAATTGTTTCCTTCCGGGGTTTGTGGGTGGTTGTTGGGGGAGGGGGGAAGGAATTCAACTATGTTTTCTAGGTTGTGCTCGTTCCTACTGTTTGAACGCTCATGATGAGTAAGTACTTATACTAAGATAAACTACCGCGCTCTATCCTTTTCAAGAAAGATTTGGCACTATAATCACATTTTAGGTCCTTGGATTTGGTATATGGATTGTCTTACATTTGTGCATTTGGAGATTCTGGTTGAAGGGTTAAGAATTTTGTAAGTTGTGTCTATTTGTCTGTTTTGACAAATAGATCACTGATACTGTATGCTTTTTGATCCTCAATATATATGCTACTGCACATTATTTGAGTTTATTAAGTTCTTTTAATACCTTCGTACTTTTGAACTGCGCAGTATTTGCTCCAATTTAACTGCAAATTATTCCTTCAAAAGAATTTAACTGCAAATTATCCAAATCTTTTTTCTGTTCTGCCTCATGGTTTACAAGTTATATTTGCTTGTACGTTTGGAAAGTTGTTCACTTGTTGTGTGATACTTCACACTCTTCACTGGTTATGTTAGCTAGGCAAAAGCATTGGAAGCTGCTTCTGCTAGTGGTTCACTATCTGCTGCAGATCAAGCTGAAATTGAGCAGCTGGAGGAACACGCCTCTACGTTAAAAAAGGTATGGAGAACGTATAGAGTTTTGAGGTCTTGGAATTTCTCTGAGATTGTTGTTGGTTTTGGGGGTGCATGGTGGGTGGAGGTTGCCGAAAGGAATGTGTATGCGAACATAGGACCATGATTGGTGTTGGTATTTGCATTTCCATTAAAACAAGATTGAGGTATCCCGCATGTTATCTATCCATCGCGGACGTCCCTAGATGTCTCACTGTACAAACTTTGAGATGTCTCACTATGTCTTGCAAGCTCAAGTCAGAACGATGTGACTTTTTCTGTCATATGGATTTTGTAATTGTAATTTTGTAAAATTTGTAATCCTCTTGTATTTGTTTTTTGTTTCCGCCTTGTGGCAGTGAAAACTCTTCACCGGAACGTAAAGAGTGTTCTACTTGACTGCATGTATATAAGCTTTCTATTATCTCGTGGTACATGAAGAAAACAAGTTGCTAATTTGATCTCGAGTAAGCATATTATATTGTTCTGTGCATTGCAGGAACTTGTAGACAAGAACAAGCATCTCAAGCTTCTGATTGATCAGCTTCGAGACCTTCTTTCTGACCTATCAATATGGCAAAGTCCCTGTTCTACATGACTCTGATGCTATAACTTCAAGCAGATAATTAAACAAGAGAGATGTTGGATGTCAAAGGAACCGCGTTCAACCCTAAGAAACTGTTATTTGTTGTACAGAGATTACTGCTACATCCAAATACTTGGTTATTGCCAAACACCTGTAATTCTATGCAACTTAATGCTGCTCGTGGTGCTACTATTCTCTCTGTTTAGATGCTTGGGCTGAGATGTGTAAGCATATACCTCAGGGAAGAGGGAAAGGAACAACAGGCAAAGGAGAATGATTTTGATCTCACTTGTTATTTGCTGATTTATTTTCTTGTACACTATAATTTTCCCGTAGCAGCTAGTTGTGCCTTGCTTTGCTCTGGTAATGAGTCTGGCATAGCAAAAATAGAGCTTTGGCAAACAAGCGTGCTACTGATCTTTCTGGTTTTAATTGTAAAATGATTTCTGATCTTGATTATCGGAACCAGGTGCTACTCAAATAAACTTATTCAATCATTAATATGTAGATTATTAGCTTGAAAAGAAATTCTGTTCATGAGAACCTGCGTATGATTATGATAAGTGAGATATATTTGTTTAAAAAACCTAATCAGATCAAGTGAAATAGTTTAAACTTCAAACCAACCAAACTCAAATTGAGTTTGTTGTGTGCTTCAACATCGAGTGAATCGATCACTATTCTTCCATAAACATATGAGCAAATATCATTTAAACTACGGATTTAGAGAAGAAATTCTCAAAGCTATGCATGTATGCTTTCTTGAATGAGGAAACTGGAAGTAGATGCCCATACATGTTGAAATAATCAATAGAGAAATAATATCAATAATCATTGTTAAGAATTTAATAGCTAATATTATCCGAAATTCAAAAGACGTGAAATGAATCAAAGGAAAGAAACCCCTGAAAAATGTTTAATAGCATTCCTGTTCCTGCAAAAAGCGCAAAAATAATGTTGGAGACAATTTCCAGGCTGCTCATTTCACCATTATAGCCGAACAGCAAAATTGCTACTGCTTCATTAACGGTACGCGAACCAAAGTTTAGTTATCTGCAGACCACAACATTTTATATGATAATCATTTATAAATTGCACATTCGAATTGACAGCTCAAATCTAACACTAAAAGAAGGTCATATATATTTTGTGGGAGTCCATACTTTTACTATTTAACATATCATAGTGTAACCAATTATCTGGATCAATGAATCATATTGTAAGCATAGATCAAATGCAATTAGAGATCAATCAAAGTAAAAAAGAATCCTGAATCATTCCACACACCTGCAAAGAAACTGTGCTGACTATAAAGGATCCGATAACTGGAAATCAATTTTTCCAACCTTAGAAACAACATGAAAAGTCAATTAAAGTACAAGCTATAGAACATGTCTGTATTGGGAAAAAACTGAATTTATATAAGATGACGTGTCATGACACGTGGACTGGTCAAATAGTCAAAGCGTGGTAATCAGTTAGAAGGCACGAGCAACAACAGATGCGGGAGAGAAGATACTTAAAGGCACGAGCTATTATTCAAATGAAATGAGACTCGTACCTGTTCGAGTCATTTAAAGCTCGAAGATCGGAAAGAATTGAAGAAATGAATCTGATGGCGTAAAGGAGTCCAAATTCAGCATTAAATGCCAAATACGTTGAGAGAATTTGTATTTAATAGGAATGATTGAGTAACGTTTCTTTTAATGTCATTTATTGCTCATAATTGCCTCATTAAGACAAAGGCATTACACTTTCTCGTAGAATTAACTATAAAAGGGGAAGGTCTCAACATCTGTAGGACACAAAATATCATTGAGATTATACTGAAACATATACTTATTCATTGCTTTATTGTTGTTCTTAAAGTCTCTTATTTCTTGATTATCAGTAACCCGATTTCTCTCTTAATTTCTAGCTTTAACCAAATATTCAGTTTTTTGGTTAAACAAATTGGTTCCGTTACCGGGAATCTGATAATCTATTCTTTTTAAGTTACATTTTATCTGTTGTTATCATCATGTCAAACAACAACAACAACAATAACGGTGATGAAAATCAAATCCATCAGAATCAAGGAGATTTACAAAACATTAACGTGGTTCCTTCCCCTCAAAATTCACCACGTCAATCTCGTGAAGGTACTCCTGCTCCTGAATCTCGTACTGATGAACAAGAGCAATCTGTACATTTTGAAGGGCCAGATGAAGCTTTACAAAAAGTAATTGATGCACGGGTTAGCAAAGCTCTTCAAGCTCTAGTTAGTCGATTACCTGTTGCACCACCCACACCTACGCCTAATAACAATACATTGGAGAATCCTCGTTCTGGCCTTGTTAATTCTGGACATGGAGGAACCCCCAGTGAACCACAGGAAGGAGAACCAGGTAATTCAAATAATTCTCATTTGCAAGATTTAGTACTAACTTTGCAGAAACAGCTTAAGGAACAAAATGAGCGCATCGAGCAAATCCCTGGAGTTCCCCTTGTAATCAAAGGAGTGGATGTGGATAAATACTCGCAACAACCTTGGAAACCAAGTGCTGCTCCCCTTCCAATCCCTAAAAAGTTCAAAATGCCCGACCTGACATCTCGAAATATGATGGCACAACAGACCCACGTAATCATGTAACTGCATTTACTACATGTGTAAAAGGCAACGATTTGACCAAGCAAGAAATTGAATCCGTGTTGGTCAAAAAATTTGGAGAAACACTCACCAAGGGTGCATTAACCTAGTATTCTCTTTTACCTGAAAATTCTATAAACTCTTTTGCTGAGCTTGCAGATTCTTTTATTAAAGCGCACTCGGGAGCTCAAAAGGTTGAAAAAAGAATGGAAAACATTTTCAAAATTAAACAAGGGGACTCAGATTTGCTCAGAGATTTTGTTGATAGATTCCAACGTGAAAGGATGACTTTACCCCGTGTACCTGATAATTGGGCTGCAATAGCTTTTGCAAGCAACTTAAATGACAAAAGTTCAGGAGCCACGAGAAGACTTAAAGAAAGCCTTCGAGAGTTCCCCGCAACCACGTGGAATGACGTTTATAACAGGTACAGTACGAAGTTGCGAATTGAGGAAGATACCGTACCTCAGTTTCATCATGAAGAAAGGAGCAATTCCAGGAGGTCAGAAACCGAAAAAAGATCAGGTAAAAACAGATACGATCCATATATAGGACCTGCAGGAAAAGACTCACGGTCAAAGCAGGATAATCAACGATATGATCAAAAATCGAGTAACAGGGAATCTAGTTCTTCATCAAGGTTCAGAAATGACCGAACAGACAAGAGTCACGAGATGATGACAGAAGTTTAAAGGCGAGATTCGGTGGATATAGTTTCAATGTTACTACCTCCGAGCTCGTAGCTGTTTTGAGGAGCATGGGAGATAAGGTACGGTGGCAAAAAGAGATGCGGTCAAATCCAAATAGGCGCAATCCAGATCATTGGTGCGAATTCCACAATGATCACGAGCACAAGACTTCAGAATGTAGATTCTTACAAAGTGAAGTGGACCATCTGTTGAAACAAGGGTATCTCACTGAGTTATTTAGTGAGAAAGGTAAGCAAGCCTATATGAAAAATAGGCAAGAGCCACCAAAGCCCCCATCACCCAAGAGAACCGTGAATGTTATAAGTGGGGGAGAAGATATTTATGGTATAACATATACGGCTTCCAACAAGGTTTCTAAAGTAACGATTACACACGGGAAACAGGTACGGCAGGTGTTTGAAAATGAAAATATTTCTTTCGATGATGCAGATACCGAAGGAGTGATGACCCCCCACAACGACGCTCTGGTAATATCTTTACTTGTACACGACAATAATGTAAAACGAGTTTTGATTGATCCAGGAAGTTCCGTAAATATTATACTACTAAGGGTATTACGTGAAATGCAAGCTGAAGACAAAATGATACCGAAGGCGCATACCTTGTCCGGGTTCGACAATTCAAGTGTGGTAACAAAAGGAGAGGTAATTCTAATAACTTTTGCTGCAGGTGTTGTTAAAGAAACTAAATTTCAGGTAGTAGATATGGAAATGGCTTACAATATGATCATGGGGAGACCTTGGATCCATGATATGGATGCTATCCCGTCAACTCTACATCAAGTTATTAAATTTCCGTCACCGTGGGGGATTTGCCAAATTCGTGTGGATCAGCAGACAGCCAGGAGTATTAACATTGTAATAGATACGAGTACCGTAAATAAAGAAAAATAGCAATTACAGGAAACAGTTGAAGGTCAAACCTCAGCTGAGCAAGGACGGACAGATGTAGACTCGAGACCTGACACAATTCAAGAGCCTGAAGAGAATGAAAATATCAAAACAACAATTGAAGAACTCGAAGATGTGATATTATTTGAGCAATGGCCTGAACGGAAGGTTTATGTTGGAGCCAATCTAAGCTCCGACATGCGAGGTATGTTAATTGAATTTCTGAAAGCTAACGTGGATTGTTTTGCTTGGTCCCATGCTGATATGAAAGGAATACCACCGGATGTGATGACTCACAAACTAAATGAAGACCCATCATTCACACCAATAAAGCAAAAGAAAAGAAAGCAAGGAGCTTTCAAAAACCAGGTGATTCAAGATGAGGTCCAAAAGTTATTAAAAATTAGGTCTATCCGTGAGGTAAAGTATCCAAATTGGTTAGCTAATACAGTTGTAGTACCTAAGAAAAATGGTAAGTGGCGAGTTTGTGTAGATTATACAGATCTTAACAAAGCTTGTCCAAAAGATTCTTTCCCTTTACCGCATATAGATCAGTTAATTGATGCAACTGCAGGGCATGAACTTCTAAGTTTTTTAGATGCATATTCAGGTTACAACCAAATCAAAATGGATTCAAGTGATGAAGAGAAAACTTCTTTTATCACAGATAGGGGGACTTACTGTTATAAAGTAATGCCCTTTGGTCTCAAAAATGCTGGAGCAACCTATCAAAGGTTGGTCACGTAAATGTAAGGTAAAACCATGGAGGTATATATAGACGATATGCTCGTCAAAACCCAGCATTCTCATGATCACATCTCTCATTTATCTGTCACATTTCAAATTTTACGAAAGTTTAATATGAAACTCAATCCAGAAAAATGCGCATTCGGGGTCGCATCAGGAAAGTTTTTGGGTTTCCTTGTCTCTAACCGTGGTATTGAGGTAAATCCTTCACAGATCAAATCAATAGAGGAAATCCCTGATGTACTTACGAGTAAAAAAGAAGTTCAAAGACTAACTGGGAGAATTGCATCTCTGGGGAGATTCATTTCCAAGTCTTCAGAAAAATGCTTCAAATTTTTCTCAGCTTTAAAGAAACAGGATCATTTTGAATGGAACGAAGATTGTCAGCAAGCACTTAAGAATCTGAAAGTATATTTGTCAAATCCACCGTTGTTGGCGAAACCAAAGGTAGGAGAGAAGTTACTCATCTATCTTGTCGTATCAGAAGTTGCGGTAAGTGCTGTTTTAATCCGGGAGGATCAAGGTAAACAATCTCCTATCTATTATGTAAGCAAGTCTTTGTTAGATGCAGAAACACGGTACCCGCAACTAGAAAAATTAGCACTTGCTTTGATCATGGCATCTAGAAAATTAAGACCTTACTTTCAATGTCATCCCATTGCTGTGGTTCCTGCTTTTCCATTACGAAACATTTTGCATAAACATGAATTATCAGGAAGATTAGCAAAATGGGCTATAGAATTAAGTGAATACGAAATCACTTATCAACCTAGGACTGCTATAAAATCTCAGGTATTAGCTGATTTCGTAGCTGATTTCAGTCAGGGGATGCAATTAGAAGCAGAAAAAGAATTACAAGTTTTTAATGACGCAAACCCGGGGACTTGGATTTTATTCACTGACGGTTCATCTAACGTAAAAGGTGCAGGTTTAGGAATAGTTCTCGTACCACCCACGGGTGAAACTATTAGACAAGCTATAAAGTGTCATTCAATAACTAACAATGAAGCAGAGTATGAAGCTGTTATTGCAGGTTTGGAATTGGCTCGAGAACTTGGCATAACCCAGATTATAATCAAGAGTGATTCACAACTTGTTATTAATCAGATGATGGGGACTTACGCAGCCAGGAAAGCACGAATGCAAGAGTACTTAGAAAAAGTACGAGAATTAATAAAGCAGTTTCAAACGTGGAAAGTTATGCAAATACCAAGAGATGAAAATATAGAGGCAGATGCTTTAGCCAATCTCGCATCTGCAGCAGACGTGGCAAAAGATGCAAACGCTTCAGTCGTACATTTATTTCATTCCGTTCTCGAACCTGATAAGAATGAGGTAAATTTTAATAATTTAACATGGGATTGGAGAAACGAAATTGTTGCTTTTCTGCAGTACGACGTACCTGATGACAAAGGAAGGCACACGCGCTCCGTAAAAAGGCTGCTCGCTACTGTTTATATCAAGGAAATCTTTATCGAAAGATGTTCGGTGGACCATTAGCAAGGTGTCTCGGACCTTCCCAAACAGAATACGTAATGAGGGAAATACATGAAGGACATTGTGGAAATCACGCGGGAGGACGGTCGCTGGTAAAAACATTGATTCGAGCAGGGTATTATTGGCCAAAGATGGAAGAGGAAGCAAATAGTTTTGTATCTAAATGTGATAAATGTCAAAGGTACGGCAATAATATGCATAGACCAGCTGAGCTACTGCATCCTGTCATAGCTCCGTGGCCCTTTATGAAATGGGGAATGGATATCGTAGGACCATTACCACAAGCAAAAGGTCAGGTGAAGTTTCTACTTGTACTTACTGATTATTTCACTAAATGGGTAGAAGCAGGAGCATTTAAACAGGTACGAGAGAAGGAAGTTAAAGACTTCGTTTGGAGGAATATAATATGCCGCTTTGGAGTGCCGAAGGAAATCGTGTGTGATAATGGTCCACAATTCATAGGAGCTCAAATCACAGAATTTTTTCAAAGTTGGCAAATTAAAAGGATAACATCTACGCCATACCATCCAGTGGGTAATGGACAAGCGGAATCCACAAACAAGGTCATTATCAACAACTTGAAGAAAAGGTTACAAGATTCAAAAGGTAATTGGCCTGAGGTATTACCTGGAGTATTATGGGCTTATCGTACAACGACAAAAACAAGCACGGGAGAAACACCATTTTCAATGGTTTATGGTGCGGAGGCCTTAATCCCGGTTGAAATAGGTGAACCGAGCACACGATATGCTCAAGCAACGGAAGAATCAAATGATGAAGAAATGCGGGTGAACCTTGATTTGCTCGAAGGAAGAAGAGAAGCTGCATTAATAAGGATGGCAGCACAAAAGCAAGTAGTTGAACGGTATTACAACAGGAAAGCACGCCTCAGATTTTTTAAAATTGGGGACTTCGTGCTTAAAAAGGTGTTCCAATCTACAAAGGCTGCTAATTCAGGAAAGCTAAGTCCCACATGGGAAGGACCCTTCAGAGTTCGTGATATTGCGGGAAAAGGAGCATATGAGTTGGAGACAATGGACGGGAAAATTCTACCCTCACATTGGAATGCTGTCCACCTAAAGAGATACTACTTTTGAGAAAGTACCCACGGTCAGGTATCGCTATGTTAAAATTTTTTCTTTGAATTGTTAAAATTTTACTAACGATTTTAGATGCTAGGCAAAAACCCTTACCCGTGCCAAATGATGAGTCACGACCTGCACGGCAAAATGGAATATTCTAAAATTCCCAGCCCAGGGTTACAATTATCCTGATGGAAATACACACGGGTTAGGCAGTCTTCATCTCTAATCGTATCTCCGAGTCCCGTATGTTTTTCTGTTTCAGGAAAAGGACCAAATTGAGAGAAACAAACAAGTGCTCGAGGCTTCATACTTCACCGCTCAAACACTTGGGGGACTGCTTATTGTACCTTTCCCATCAAAACAAATGAAGATACAAAACATTCATCATAGTATTCTTTCCCATGAGAACAACAGAGTCACCTCTCAAACTCATGAGAACAACGGAGTCACCTCTCAAACCCTTCCTAATGCATGAAGATAGGGTCATGACTATGTACTGAAACGGGTTATAAGGAAAAACCTTGTTTGAATTATATTTATTTTGTAAAAATCTGTTACAAGAAAAACAGTTACGAGAAAGTTATAGATGTATTTTAATACATGTAATATTCAAAAGCTTGTCAAAGTTCGTGAATAAAAACTTGTCAAAGTGATTCCAAACAAAACATGTGTGTTCCTATTTCTTTCATCGTATTATAACACCATTATGAAGTTGAGACGTCTTCTTCATTAAGTGTCGATATATATAAAAGGGCCCTCTTATATAAACCTCATGTTAATAAGTCATGAGAAGAATCATAAAGCATTTTCAAAGGATAAAAATGCTAAACTATTCTATAAGTCCTAAATAGATAAGAAAAAGGCAAGAATAGAACATATTGAAGTACTAACAAACTTCTTGATATAATTAAAAAGACTAAGTAGAAACTTAGTCAACAAAAAGTTTATACAAGTGCCCCATTATGATAACTGGGGACTTTTTTCAAAAAAATCCCTTAAAAACCGCCAAGGGATAAACCACCAATCAACAAAACAAAAACAAAGTCTGGAAACATAAACTGGTCACTGAGGGGCTGGAATGCCAGAAGTTGTTATATTAGCTTCACTTTCATGAACAGCTATAGGTACGGTGGTAACTTCTGAAGAAGCAGCAACAGGAGCGGTTCCAGCTGGGATTGAAGTGCTAAGTTCATCGAGGGGAGCAAGAGTCACGGAAGTTTCAGCTTCCACAAACTGAGTCATAGAAGTTTCACCCTCGGGAGCTGGAATTGCAGCATTTTCAACTTCAATTGCCGCAGCAACGGCTTCTTCATTTAAAGGTTCTTCAGCCACGGGAGCTTCATTTGCCGGAGAAGGAAAGTCAAGTGGTTGTTGGGTCATCTCAATGGTTTTCAAAACTTTGGCCAATTCCGACTTTAAATCAAAGTTTTCTTGACTGGCCTCAGTTAAAGCATCACGACGAGAGTTTAGAAAAGCCCAACTCACCTCTATGTTAAAATTCTCCTCAAGAAGTTCATACTCTTTTTCCCACATAGCAAGATCATTCTTTAACACTTGATTTTCAGCTAAAGAGGAATCAAGGGAAGCTTCAAGGGAGGCATGAGAACTCTCTAAGGCACGTACCTTATCAGAAGAGATATTTAAATCAGCTTGAACTTGAGTCAAGTTTTGCACTAACTCCCCTGCATACTCTTCTTTCTTGGCCAAAAGTGCCTTAAGTTCTCTGATTTCTTCACTTGACTTTGATAATTGTTCTGAAAATGAACATTCAAGGCGCTCCTTATCCTTCTCAGCTTTACTAGAAGAAGCCTTGGCTCCCGCTAATTCAGAAGTCAGAGTCCACTTTTGCTGCTCCAGGTTACGGTTTCTTTCTTGCAATTCTTTTATCATTTCTTGAGCATTTTTAAACTGTTCCTTCCAGTTAGTTACTTCCAGTTGGGCTTCCTTAGCTACCCTCTCAGCCTCGAGAACAGTCTTATCAGACTCGCGGGACTTCTTTTCTAAAAGGAAAATTCTTCCCATTAATTCCGTGCCAATAAGGTTAGCCTACAAAGACAACTCATGAAAATAAGAATCTAGAGATAAAAAAAACTTATTAGTAAGTAAAGGAAGAATACCTTTAACTTAGAATGAACTATGTCATTCATCAAAGTTAAGTAACTATGACTGTTCATCTTCTTCTTCTCAATGTCTCCAATTAAAGGCTCGAGCCAGACATCTGCTCCACCAGACTTCCTTAAAAGATTGTTATTAGTAGGAACCTCAAGTGTGACACTCCTCATAGCCAAACTTCTGCTACTGGAACCCTCCTCTGCATGCTGAACAGAGGAAGGAGGAGCTATAGAAGGAGGAACGGTAGAAGAGGTGAAAATAACAGGAGTCGAAGGAGTCGAAACAGGTAAGGGAGCAGAAATTGGCAAAGGAGTAGGAACAGATAAAATAGGCAAGGAAGCACTTGAAACCAAAGGAGGAATAAAAGGAATGGGAATAGAGGAGGAAAGAGGAACTTCATCTAAAACCGGACCTAGTTCACCACTTTCGAAACCGTCAACGAAGAGACGTTGAGTGGATTCAATGGTGTCCCTTGGAATGGTTTCATCATCAGAAACAACAGTAACAGGTTCGATAAGAGAGGAGGCATGGGCAGAAGAAATTTCAGCTTCATCTTCAGAAATGATGCGTCTCCTGGCTCTAGGCCTAGCCATCAAAGAGGTGTCTTCATCTTCATCATCCTCAGAATCCTCTTCAACAATTTTCCTCTTTGGCAGCGTAGCTTGTGTTCTCTCCAAAGAAAGGGGAGTACCAGAAGAGACTCGAAGGGCAATAGCTACTTCAGATGTCACTCCTCGAATAGCAAATCCTGACAAAAAGAAGGATAAAAAGTTAAAAGAGGGGAAAGAATTTAACATACGAGAAATAATAAGGGATGCATACCGTGAGTTTTCACTTTCCAAGCACGTTTGTTGGAAATAGATTTCCAGGTTCGTGCCTCCATAGGCACGGCTTTCAAAATAGCATCTACCCAACCACAAAAATTAGGAACGGGCTCCACATCTCCCATGGTTGCTACAAAAAAGCAAAAAAGAATGAAATTAGAAAAGGAGTTAAAATAAAAAAAAACAGATACGGTAAGGAAGAAATACTTACGTGCAAGGTTCCATTTCTCAGGAAAAGGAATATTTGATTCACCCACCAAACCAATTGTGGGTACCGCAATATAACGGGTGTACCAGCCTCGATCTTTATCATCTTCAGGGCTTACCAAAACCCTTTTACTTCTTGCAGTTAGGGTAAAAACACCATTGCGGAACAACTTGGGGTGGTAAAGATGAATTAGATGGGAGAAGGTAAAGTCAACACCAGCCTTGGCCGATACATACCTTAAACAAGCCACTGCTCTCCATACGAGGGGGCCAATTTGAGCCAAACAAATCTTGAAAAAATGACAGAAATCGAGTATGACTGGGTCGATAGCAGGAATAAATCCCAAAGTAAAGGGGTAAGTATAAACAAAGGAAAAACCAATCCTATATGAAGAAATTCTCTGGTTTGGGTTAGGAATAACTATACGAAGGTCATCTCTCCAACGACAATCTTTTCGAACAGCCGGAAATCAAGGGTTCAGTAATTAAAGAAGGATAGGTGTCAGCATCAATTACATGGTCACGAAGGGATTCTTTATCATGCTCGAAAGATAAGTCGGTTGGCACTATTTCTTCAACCAAAGGTTCTTGAATAGGCTCACAAGATTCTTTGCCTTTAGAAGAGGATCTCTTAGTGAAAGAACCTCTAGAAATAGTGCCAGAAGAAGGAGTGATGGAATTAGAGGTACCACCACGAATGGACCCTAGGCCACGAAGCCTACCTCCTCTACCTCTTCTGTGTCTTACAGGGGCATTGGGGAAACTGTCAAGAATTGGGACTCCCCTAGGGTTAGGATTCGAAGATGACATGGTAAAAATATGTGAACTGAGGAATAAGTGAATATGAGTAAATAGTGAAATACTTGGTAAAAGTTTATGGAGAAGAAGACAAGGGAAAAAGGGTTAAGTTTATATATAAAAGCAACCGTCAAAGATTAAGGAGTGTAATGATGGAAAGCCTATAATAAAGGCAACTATCACTTCGTGAATAGTGGAGTTGAAGAAGCCTTGGAAAAAAAGAGAAGTTGCAGAATTGCAGAGCTAATAAGAAGGTGACACGTATGCAGTGTATTAAATAGAAAAGACAACTGAAGCGTCAGTACTGTCATAGCATTGATTATGGCAAAAATTCCCTTTTTAATGAAGATCCACTTCCCAAATATTTAATTGATAAATAAATGAAAAGTGGGGGGACTATCTGTATTGGGAAAAAACTGAATTTATATAAGATGACGTGTCATGATACGTGGACCGGTCAAATAGTCAAAGCGTGGTAATCAGTTAGAAGGCACGAGCAACAACAGATGCGGGAGAGAAGATACTTAAAGGCACGAGCTATTATTCAAATTAAATGAGACTCGTACCTGTTCGAGTCATTTAAAGCTCGATGATCAGAAGGAATTGAAGAAATGAATCTGATAGCGTAAAGGAGTCCAAATTCAGCATTAAATGCCAAATACGTTGAGAGAATTTGTATTTAATAGGAATGATTGAGTAACGTTTCTTTTAATGTCATTTATTGCTCATAATTGCCTCATTAAGACAAAGGCATTACACTTTCTCCTAGAATTAACTATAAAAGGGGAAGGTCTCAACATCTGTAGGACACGAAATATCATTGAGATTATACTGAAATATATACTTATTCATTGCTTTATTGTTGTTCTCAAAGTCTCTCATTTCTTGATTATCAGTAACCCGATTTCTCTCTTAATTTCTAGATTTAACCAAATATTCAGTTTTTTGGTTAAACAATCCGGTAGCCTCCTGTCTATAAGTGTGGTGCACAACACACCCATAAACAAGACTCTACTAGACACGGTCTGTAGACAATCCTATGACAGAACTGCTCTGATACCACTTTTGTCACGACCCAAACCGATGGGTCGCGACGAGTGCCCGAGTCCTACCTGTCGAACACCCTTAAGCATGCGAATAAGATGTAAACATGAATAATATCTGCTGAATTACGAGAATAATATACATGAAGGAAACCTGCCAAAAGGCATATGTACTTATTCATGCAACATGCGTAGGGCAAGCCGACAAGGATGCTATACACAATTATATACCTCAAAACTGGAAGCCGGCAAGGCCACATACTATCCAACTAGACATACTGTCTACAGACCTCTAACAGAAATACAACTGTACAAAGACGGGACTGAGCAACGTCATACCCATATATATATATATATATATATATATATATATATATATATAT